AATTGAATACAAAAATCAGCGAGATTGATACAGAGGGGGGGGGAAGAAAAGCTACAGCATGGGAGGAGAGATAAGCACGAAGTTATATAGGATCTAAGGGTATTATTATAGACGATCTCACAGTGGCGGCGGTGCTGCCAGAGCAACGGTTTACAGGAAGCATGATGGCTGGGACTTGGAGGTGTACGCCGATCATTGTTAATTTGATCGAAGCCCTTATTTGGCTCTGCTTGGTCCATCCGTTGTGTTATATGGGTCCCAAAATTTTCTACGGTCAGCCACCACGGCTTGCTCGTACTCCTGTTCTTTCAGCGAGGGTGAGTCGAACATCCATTTTCTCGAGGCTTGGGATGAAACGCACTGGGCTCTGATGTCCACCGATGTTATGCACTACGCTCTACGGAGCGGCGGCCTAGAAAACCGTTAACTGATCTCTCCATCTTTCTTCCCCTTCACGTCGACTTCTTACTGACCTCCATTGTTCTCAAACAGTACTTTTCGACCCAAATCTTAGACTTGGGTGTATCACACTAGCGCAATGAGCGACTCCTCCGCTCAAAGAGATTTTTGTAACGTAGTAGATGAAATGACACAGAGCATCTCATCCGTGCGCGAATCCATCAAATCTTTGCGAGTCAAGTGAGCCCCCACATCCTGCATCGCAATCCAACCCAACAGCTAAACGACTGGTTTACTAGACAAAACACCACGTCCGAGCTAGACTTCCAAGATGGTATATCGTTGCTTTCGTTGAAACACCATATAATGTTACAATACCTCCAATCCATCGTCCTGCTCACTTCTCACCGCGCTCTCGGACATTCTATGGAAGATCGAACGCCTCCAACTCAACCATTCGGTCACCCCGTGCGGGAAGCACGAGGTTCAGCTGCTGGCGATGCGGTGGACTCGATGATAGAAGGTCGAGTCGTTCTTGAAAAGGTCAAGGTCCTTGAGGGAAGGATGAAATACCAAATCGAGAAACTTGTTAAAGTCGCTGAGGATGCAACGTCAGGTGCCCAGACCAGTAGCCTCAACGGTACGTCCCCTCTCCCCATCTCATCTCACCTACCTCAACGTTCACTCACTATTCATATCCAGATCCTCTAGCATTCCGTCCCAACCCCTCCAACCTCATGGCCGCCAACTCTGACGTCTCAGCCTCAGACTCAGACGTCTCACCCTCCCAACCGACCACGAAAGGGGATGGGATCTACCGTCCCCCTAAACTAGCTCCGATGCCCTACATCGAACCCACCTCCAAACACTCCAAACGCACTCGTCTCCCACCCCCACCAAGCGCCCTAACATCCCTAACCCACCTAGACCCATCCAAACCGCACCTCGAATCCGCCTCAGGTCTGGGCAACACCCCCTCCCTCTCTTCCTCCCGCGCCAGAGAAATCGCGAGGATGACAGAGTTCGAAGAGGAGAATATGATGAGGTTGGTTATGAAGAAGAAGGATGCGAAGAAGAGAGCGATGGACGAGGCTGATATTGCACTTGGGTTGGAAGGCGGTGGGGCTTTGGGTGGGGGGAGAGGTGGGAGGAGGAGGGCTGGGGGTTTGGAGGATGAGTTTGGGGATGTGCTAAGGAGTGTTGGGAGGAGAAGGGAAGGTGGGGGTGGGGGAGATGGGTATGAGGAGTTGAGGAAGAGGGGGAGGAAGGAGGGGGTTTTGGAGAGGTCTAGAGCTAGGACTGAGAGGGGTGGATTTGAGGAGAGTGTGGGCGGGGAACAAGGGAGGGGACAGAGGAAGAGGAGTCGGTTCGAGAAGGAGACTAAAGTTGCTCGGAAGAAGGTCAAGTCGAGGTGATCTGCCTCGTTGGGACTAGGATGAGGAGTGGTTTGTATATTACTTGACTATGTTGAGTTGCTAATACAAGTTCTTATGAAAGTCCTTACTGCAGTTCGTTTATATTCTACTTTTCGCCTGCGCGTCCGTCTGGTAGGCCAGGTGGCACACACGCACAGCCACTACAGGATTCTTCGAGTCCACGTTAGGTTACCAAGGTCCAACACGCCCGCATCTCCGAGTCATAGCCATTGTGTTTACCGTAAAGCGTTGCTCTGCCACTGAGATTGTTTGTCTATACAACTTCGTGCTCATCTCTCCATCCATGCTGTAGCCTTTCTTCCCTCCATCTCTGTACTCAATCTCTCTGGTATCTGATATCTGTACCCATCCTTTGTCCACCATGGCCACCCGCCGAGACAACCTCATCGAATCCTTCGACGCTCTCGCACTAGCAGGTAAACCACCCAGTCCAACCAAAGATCAATCCCGCCAAGCTCCTCGCGACGAGGGCTTCATAGGCGGTTTTCATCCCCGTCACAATTCCATCGATTCCACTAAAGCTCTACCACAAATCCCAACCCCATACATCCCTTCCCCTGGTGGGAGAGGTGATGGGCAGTTCCCCGGCGCGTTACCCAGTACGCCGAATAGGATGTCGATGCCGATACCACAATATGCACCGTATCAATCTTTGACGATGCAATATGCTGTTAATTCGCCTTTGCCTCAGCCGCCGGCGATGCAACCCAATACCCCACCTCGTCCGAACGTGGCTTCTAGGCCTCCTCCCATTCCGAGTGGTTCTGGTTCACCCTATACCCCCACTCAATCAGATACATCAGACCTTCCCCGTCCTTACCCCCATCCTCACCCGCACTCCCCACCACCCCCATCAAAACTCTACCCGCCTACCCCTCCATATCAGAGACCACCACATACCCGTCCCCACTCCGACTCCGCTCTCCCCCCACCCTCACCACAACTTGCTTCCTCCACATCCTCCCCACCTCCTCGTCCATCAACGACCAAACCTTCCCCAGGTTTAGCAATCCCGCCTAACCGCCGACCCCGCGCAGCTTCCACCCCTCCTTCCCCCATCTCCGCTTCCACTTCCACTTCTACATCGGGTGGTGGTGGTGGGAATGGAACGGTACAATGTAGTGGAGTGACTAAAGCTGGGAAACGATGTACGAGGCAGATTAAGTTGAGGGATTTGGATGTTGGGTTGGGTGAGGGTGGGGAGGGAGAGGGGGAAAGGTTTTGTCATCAACATGCGAAAGAGTTGATGGGTCCTTCTGGGTTTTATTCGAGGAAGGGAGGGAGTGAGTGGATTAAATTCGAAGGTGGGTGGGACGCTTTTGTCTTTGTCTTTTTTGCTGGAGGTCTTTGAACTGACTTGATGGTTGGTTTGGGGTAGATTGGATACCGGAGTATTTGTCTATGGAGACGCAGGTTGCGTTACGAGTTGAGATGGAGAAAGCTCGATCACTCTCAGATGTCCCAGGGTACATCTACACTTTCGAGATCCTCGGTACGTCTCTCCCCTTACTCCCTCCCCTCCCTCCCCATAACTCCACCAAACACAGACCCAACCACCCCAACCCAACTGCACCTCAAAGTAGGCAGAGCCACAAACCTAGTAAAACGTATCGACCAATGGACAAAACAATGTAACTCAAAAGAACAAGTCCTCCGCGGGTATTATCCCGACCCTCAAGATTTTGATGCTGGTGAACAACAGCAGGGTTCGATGATGAAAGGGAGGGTGAAGGCTGGGGAGAAGGTTGCTTGGTGTCATCGGTTGGAGAGGTTGATACATCTGGAACTTGGGGATTTGGTGGAGAGTGGGGTTTATAGGGAGGTTGGGTGGCCTACTAAGGTTGGTGGTGGGAAGGATGGTAAGGATGGGACGAAGGGGAAGGGGAAGGATGGAGATGGGAAAGGTGGGAAGGATGGGAAGGATGGTGCGACTGTGGCTGGGTTGGCTACTCCCCCTAGGAAACGGACACCTCCTGCAGCCAAATCACAGACGAAACGTTGTCCAGATTGTGAGTCCCCTTCCTTCTCCCTTGTTCGACGCCCTTGATAATGTGTTGGTGGTTGGGCAGGTGGAAGCTTGCATAAAGAAATATTCACGTTTACTCGGATTGAACGAGGGAGGTATAAAGGGAAGGAATGGGAGAGTATCGTGAAACCTATTGTTGAAAAGTGGGGGGCGTTTGTTGAAGCGTATCTTTGATGGATTGGGGGTCTTGGAGTTGTATGTGTGATTTCTCAATTTTTGGAACGTTGAATGGGATGGTTAGGACTGCTTGATATGACTATTGGACTGTTGTACGATGTTTCTTGTATTGCTTCCCATCTCTCAGTATGTATTGGATGTCGTTTTTGTGTTGTTACACTCGACGTTCGAAACTTCATGTTTCTTTGGTGGTTTTGAGTATCATGATCAAAAACATGTAAAAAATCGGTTTACCATGCAATGGATGCTCCCTGTGAGACTTGAACTCACGGCCTCCGGATCACCCGTTGTTCAACGGTCATAAGCAAGTATGAGACCGGCGCTCTAACCAACTGAGCCAAGGAAGCGATGAATGTGCATTGACCTGGTACCGTCGGGAGGTCACAGTGTGCATTGTCCCCTCCCCCCGTCAATGACTCCTTCATTGACTGTGCGCATCGCCCCATAAAATTTCCCGCAGCTACGTTACTCGCCATCATTCTTCTCAACCCATGAAAGACACGAAAAACAAAAGAAATGGGGAATGCCAGGCGGTATTGTTCGCACAGGTCCCGAAAAGGTAGCGACATTACCATATATGGAAACAAAGCTTCTTGATGCTTTTGTTGTTTGCACAGCCACCATTTCGTAACTTCTTTTGTTCTATGTGCTTTTGCCATTTTCCATTGTTCCGTGTGTTTGCTATAAAAGCCCTGCGACCATGCACAAATCTCTCATCACTCCCTCTCTTCCTCAATCTCCATCTTTCTTTGCGTCGACGCCTTCTTCCCTATTTTTGAGCTAGCCTCACATCAACTCTACCTTCGCTCATCACCCAATCACTCATAACTCCTACAACTAACCAACTGAAGTTACCGTCGACCGGAACGATGTTCTCGAAACTCCTCACCATATCATCTCTCTTGTCTCTCGCTCTCCCGCTCGTGCGGGGTGTCCAAATCCCCGTCACAGTAGGAGGTGTTGGCATCATCCAATATACTCCCAGCTCTGTCGTACGTCCCAACCTATCTTCATTACCATTGGCTTTGACTCATGACTCTGCAATAATAGACCGCGAACGTTGGCGACGTAGTCGTCTTCACCTTCCAACAAAAGAATCACACCGTGACCCAATCATCCTTCCAGTCTCCCTGTGTCCAAGCACCAGGCGGTTTCGACTCTGGATTGTTCGTCCCTCCCACCACCTTTCCTTCCTACCCAAACTAATACCATTTCGCATCATAGCGTACCAGTGGCAGCCAACAACACCGCCGGCCCATTCCCCACCGCCCAATTCACAGTCCAAGACACAAACCCAGTATGGGTCTTCTGCCGTCAAACCGGTCACTGTCAACAAGGAATGGTCTTCGCTATCAACCCCGGTAACCAATTCGCCGCCTTCCAAGCAGCCGCCACTGGAGGTTCCACCACATCCGCTCCAGCTGCGACCGCGACCGCTCCCTCTGGCGTACAAACCGTTACCGCTACCGTAACCGTTTCGGGATCCGTACCTGTGACGACCACCTATGGTTCGTTCCCGGGGAGTGCGGCGCCTACTTCGGTTATGTCGACCGATCATAGGATTGTGGTTGGTGGAACTGGTGTTATTGCGTTTACACCGGCGAATATTACCGCTCAGGTTGGAGATACTATCACTTTTGAATTCAGGTATGTCTCTGTTGCTCAGCTTTCTTGTTGGGGTGGGCGTTGATAAAGTGTTGTCATTGCTTTATAGGCAAAAGAACCATACCGTCACTCAGTCGAGCTTTGCTGAACCTTGTATCTCGTTGACCAAGACTTCGACCAGTGGACAGATTGCATTCGACTCTGGATTGTAAGCACACTCGCCATCCTCGACCTCTCCCTTCCACGTTCTGATTTCGCTTCTAGTATGCCAGTCGCAGACAACATCACCAACTTCCCCACATTCACAATCCAAGTCAACGACGTACGCCCCTCGTCTCTCTCTCACCTTCTCCACAAACTAACCTCTTACCCTGCTCATCAAAGACCGCACCCATCTGGGCTTACTGCCGTCAAGCAACCCACTGCGGTCAAGGCATGGTATTCGCAGCCAACGCCGTCGAATCAGGCTCCAACACCTTTGAAGCTTTCCAGGCGAAAGCTAAAGCACTCAACGGCACCTCTTCTTCCACACCATCCAAGAGCGCAGCTACGAGTTGGAGAGAGGCGAGATACCCTGACGCTGGCGTCGCTTTGGTCGTTTTCGGTGTCGTTGTTGGGCTTTGGGTCTAGAGGATTGTTGTCCTTGGTTTTCTTTTTGGATCATTCATGACGGACCTCAGTTTGGTGATGATTTAGATTGATGACATTCATGTTGTGATGATGCTCATGATGGACCTTGCTTTTGGTTTTTATGAGGATGTATCGCTAGTACCTTTCCCTTCTCCCTCATCGTTCCCCTCTTCGACAGTAGTATACATACAATGTGCAACGCGCATTACTGGTTTGGTTATTGGTTATAGATACTCACCTAGTTAGTACTTACCTAATTCCCTTGTATCAATCGAATGGAAAGAGATCGAGTCTCCTTTCTGCCTTTGCATTTGAAAAGAAAGAATTGCAAGTGAATCGATACAAATCCTGATGCTACATTCCGGTACAACATCTTCCATCTTTTGACTTTCAAACGCGCACCCTCTTCTGCAAAAATCACCTTCTCGACCTCCAATTCTGTTGGGTATAGGCATTCGCAGGTGAACTGAAAAAGTTCTGCATGGGAACGGGTGTAACAGTATGACTCGTCGGGTAACCGCCCGCACCATGGGCGAATGTTGCTTGTAACAAGTTTCCTGGCATCATGGCGAACGCGGGCATCGGTTGGGTAGCGATAGGCGCCGTCAGCGGAGGCGAAGGGGGTAGGTTCGTAAGAGGTGGCTTCCAATTCTGGTCATGAAGACATGATGTCAGTGAACGGTGGGCATGAAAATGACGAAGGGGGACAGACATTCGCTTTGCCCTCCTTGTAGAGCTCATCCAATCTCTGATCAAATATTCCCTTCTCTTCAAACTCGTGATATGCTTTGAACAACCTCAAGGCAGCATGGGCGTCCTCGATCGAATCATGCGTCTCGGTTTGAATGTTTTCTTTTAGGACGAACCAGGTAAGGAAACGGAGGGAGAGGCGACGTTGGCGGCTGCGGATGAAGTAGAGGTCGACGGTGTCGATGACTTGGTCTGGGGGGACGAACAAATCTAACCATGAGAAGTGTGAGAAGAGGTAATGAGAGTACGGAGGGGTAATGGCTGACTGATGATACGGAAATCCTTGGATAGACCATGCCCGATGAATATACACCCACGATCCACTAGTAACCTTAACTTCTTGTACACAAGCTTCAGGGGCGTTAGTGTGTATCGAGACAAATGCGGATCCAGGTCTCCGACTACGATGCATGTGGTCATCAGGAAATGGATGGACGAAGGAGGAATCCAACGCACACTTGATCCCAGAAAACTCCGTCAAATAGTCTACGATCGCCTCGCTCGTATGAATATGATCGTCGATGAAGGGGATACCCTGCTTCGGCCCATCACCACGTAGAACTGAGACGCGAGCTAGACTCAGGCGAGCAGGTCGGATTATCTTCTTCGTACCGTCTGAGCGATACTCGGTTTCTTCCTGGTGGCAGAAAACACATGTAAGCTGAGTTTATGCGCGGGGCTGTTGGTTTGACTGACTTGTTGCATCGAGACGAATTCGGCATCGATGGCAACCAAAGTTCCCGGCTTGGGTAGCTCTTCATATCGCAAGCACTCGTGCTTGACAAGGTTCTTGTCCCGATTCCTGTTGAATGCGTCAGAGACCCGGTAGGACGACCGTGTCCGATCGAACTGACACTGCAATATTGGTATCGTGACACAGGATAGTAGGATCGCTGTCATCATGAAGCGCGCTGAAGTCGACCCTCTCGCCAATGTCCGTACGTTCCAGGTATACAATCGCTGGGAGCTTGGGATGGAGAGTTCAGCAGAAGATTTACGTGACAGAATTACCACATACCTTCCATTGACCAGGGAAGCTGAGGGCTTCATCTTCTGATATGTTGCGAACCACAAAGTCGTTGAAAACGAACCAGGGACTGTCAAGTTCGGGATCACCTTGCGCCTCAGGGACTGCGAGAGGTTCAGGCTAGTGGTGGTTAGAGAGAAAGTGACTGACCTTTGACGATCGCGACCAGGTGTGAGCTTCCTTCCTTGTCCGCGACCTGTACAACAATGGACTGGAGGGCGGTGGTCTAAACGAGATCTACATGGGGAAATAAGATAGCGACATACCCTTAACTCATACGTGACTACGTCCGGATCGTCGACACCCTCCACTTGGCCTTGCAGGTCGATGGTCGGAGTCAGGAATCTATGATTGCGACTGTCAAGCCAGAACTTTTGGCTCTCTTCGCTATACACAGATGCATTCACCGCCAAGAGGGACGGTAAATCCCGAGACGGGATTGAGCGACGAGATTCAAACGTTGCAAATTGTTTGCATGTTTGGCAAGTGGCTTTGTGGCTCATTTGACGAATCAGGGAGCTTCTCAGGATACCCGCGAAGTCTGTAGAGGCTGAAGAATCATCGGAGGATGACTGGAAGAAGTGAGATTGTGGGAAAGATGGCGCCAGTGACTAACATAAATACCTTGCGTGGATATACCATGTCGACCATATGCGTCATATTATCCTTTTCCCTGACTGCTTTGCAGGTCAGACAAGTGATTACGTTCTTGCCGTCAATCCCCAGAAGCTGGGTGATGGGAGCTGCAGCAGGTGAATTGACCCCTGAGCCGGGCAAAGCGGATGTGAGGATTGTAGGGTTATGAGGGAAAGCGTTTCCTTCTGAACTGAGGTGATCGATGAGGAAACGGTGGAACGACTGGATCATATGGGCGTAGTTTAGAGCAGGCGTGTCCCGGCCGTAATCAATAATTTCGATAGCATTCTGAGCTAAAAAGATGTTGTCTCAGCGAATAGCAGCATTCCACATAAGCTGACTTACCTTGTGCAAGGACACCAACCGTCTTGCAGAAGTTGCTGGCTTGACAATTAATACCTTTGGCATCCTCGAGCATGCGAACGATGAAACCGAGTTCACAAAGAAGGCAATGCTCGCGGGGACAATTGGTGGTGATGTGTGACTTGGCCAACCGCCTGATTGAGAGACTGTAATGCATGACCTGCACCAGAGGATTCGTGTATGAATTCAGAATATGCGTTTCCAGTCCACTGTAATCTGTCTTATTGAAGAACCTGAAACGGAAAGTGAAGACGTCGGATTATAGGAACCAAAGGTGACCATACCCGAAGTCAAAGTCTTCCACCCCGAATTTGGAGTATTCGATTTCAACTTTAC